ACTTCAACTCCAGTAAGAAAACCAAAACTCGAAAAGAAGAAAGTGGAAAACAACAGATAAAGGACAACAAACAGAAAGGAAGTCTATGGTATCTGTATGACAGTCTACATTCCATGCATTTGTACTTGCAATAGAGGTCAGCATATCTGTATTGCTATTGTATCTGTGAGCTCATGGAAAAAGTAATGATGTCGCAACAGAGACTTCAAAGTGGGCTCAGAACTTCAAATCACATTCAAATTCTCTACCAGACTTCTGTAGTCCAAGATGAAACCTATGCTACGCTGTTCTCACTCAAACCAAAACATCAGGATCAATGTTCACATGAATAGATTTATCATGCTAAGGTTACCCTCCAAGTCTAATTCACACAGACCCAGGGACTTGAGGGGGTAAGCAGGAAGAGGAATTAATTTTCGTTCACTGGGATGGATAATGTTCACAGAAGCATTTCTGTAGTCACTCAAAGCAAAAGTTGTGGTAAGAAACTACTCATAAAACTGCACTAATTGCATTCATTTCCAAACATTATGAACTTCGCCTTATTTTTTAGTATGGAATCACAACATACTTGGATTAGGTGAAAAAAAATTAGCATGGACTACTTCAGTAGTAAAAAAGAAAATACCATACAACCATTAATTCTTTCTCTAAAGACAATCTGATTGGACTAGAATCATTCTTTCTGTCCTTGCATGGACTTACAGAATGACTATTAGACTTCATTTTCTGTTGCTCAAAGTAGCTATTCCAACTAAGGCTAAAGTTTCACTGACACATTTAGCAGCTCCCTGGAAAGTCTTAATATAATATTTTGCACGAGATAACTTGTAAAACTGTGGTTGGATGCAACCCTATGGCATATGCCCTCATAGCACAGTATGGTCTTTCAGGTCTTAGTTTCTAGAGTTCTCTGCACAGTTCACACAACACACTTAAGGTAGTGACCTCTTTCCTAGGTCTACATTTGTTCATGGAATTCAAAAGGTTCTTTAAAATTCTCACATGCACAAAGAGCATACTAGTATGTAACGCAGTGACTGCCACCCACCTCTGTACATCACACACATCTCAATAGCAAGAGATCAGCAAGATCAGATATTTATTAGCAACAGTAGTCCAATTCAATGTAAACCAAATGGTATTTATTTAGAATTTTGGCAAGTTTAGCTGCCAGGGATCAGTGCCATTCTAGCACAGGTAGCTTGCTGGCTTTAATGGAGTCAGCCACCTCAAGGCTAACTGAAAAACTGTCCATGCAAGCAGTCATCACAGCAGTAATACTGTAAATACACTGAAAGGGATCTCAGTCTGGTACAGAATTTGGGATTCCTCTTCTTCTTGACATTTCCTCTTTAGCACATTTCTCCTCTGTGTTCCAACCTCCTCAATAGCACTTTTTTATTTAACTACAAGCTGGGAAGTCCCAGTGCAGCTCCTCGGAGAGCATTCTTGTTACTTTCTCTATAAGTAACCTCAATGCTTCCTGGTGAGACAATTTGCAATTCAAGCATTACGTTTCTTTTCAGTAGATAAGACACTTTGTTTTGTTTTGCTTTTCTATTGCTACTGAAAACTGCTTCAGTTTTGTTGTAATCTAGCACACCGTATCAGTGGGAGAAATCAGAGTTCAACCTTTTTTTCTCGTGATGAAATACAGGTGTTCCTACCAAGGCAGCTGTGCTACTCCTCTCTTGCACTACATTGTGTTTAAGTGTTAATAGATTTTAACCTGTACAAAACTGTGCTGCTAAGATTTGGTCCAGCACCAGATGGAGCAAGTACATAACTACACTTCTCACTAGTCTGATGGATGGTAGTCTACGAGCTTGAGCAATATGTCCTCCAGTGACCTATAGAATTCATAGGAATACTCCAACTTGATGGACTCATTTTATTCCTTTGATTTACATCTTCATCTATGAATGCAAATCTATTGCTAGAGAGATTTCTTATTTCCTGCTCAATGGTATCAAATCACAGAATCACAGAGGTTGGAAAAGACCTTCAAGGTCATCTAGTCCAACTGTTCACCTACCAACAATATTGCCCACTAAACCATGTCCCCGAGCACTCCATTCACACATTTCTTGAATACCTCCAGGGACAGTGACTCCAACACCTCCCTGGGCAGCCCACTCCAATGCATCACCACTCTTTCTGAGAAGATTTTCCTAATATCCAACCTGAACCTCCCCTAGCACAACTTGAGGCCATTTCCTCTCAATTTATCGCTAGTTACCTGGGAGAATAAGCCAACCTCCAGCTCTCTACAACCTCGTTTCAGGTAGCTGTAGAAAGTGATGAAGTCTCCCTTGAGCCTCCTCTTTTCCAGACTAAACAATGCCAGTTCCCTCAGCCACTCCTCACTACACCCATGTTCTGTATCCTTCTCCTTCTCTCAGCTTCAAGGCACCATAAGGGCCTACCAAGAAAAAGAATTTTTATTTTACTTTCTCTCTTTCTCTTACTGGTTGAGCATAGCTAAATGAAATGAAAAGTCATACATACAGAAGATAACAAATATCCTTTGAGGTCATAGCATGTTCACCATGCTGTAGTCTCTAGTGTCTGAGCAAGAACTCAGGCCAAAAATATCATGTATAGAAAAACACTGCAATGCTGTGATTTCATGCCTAGTGTTACCTTATGGTTTAAGTAGCTCCCTTGGCTCTTACACTTGTAGCAATTAGAATTTCCAGACAGCTCAGTGGCAAATATTTTAGGTTCCCTCTACATCGCAGCACTAACTGGCAGATGGCAGTCATTCTTACTGTGAATGAATTAAAATCACTGGCTGTAAACCTAAAGACTTGTTTAAAGCTTTCAAAATTTTCATTCTGCTTTTTACAGAAAGTTACAAAGCAACAACAGCCAGTTGTGTGATGCACGTCTTTTTTTTTTTTAATTTAAATCACAGGCTAAGTTCTACAGTAGGATACACAGGTCAACATGCCGCTGTTTCTGGAGTTCATTAACACATTTCTGCCCTTTTCCCTCCATGATACTTTTTTTTAGCAATCAGGTTATTTCAACACAGAATGCTATCTCCTGAAGAACACAGAAATAGCCTCTAAATTACTGCCTCACGTGCTTGATCAGAAAAAAAAAAAATGGAGCATCAGACAAAGAAGAGGGAACGCCTGCCCTGTGCTCCTGATTTTTTAGTGTAGTTGCCTCAAATCAGGATTGCCTCCTATGCAATGCAGATGATATACTTCTCCATTACTAGGACACTATATGTGACAAAGGTTAAGCAATACACATTTCAACTTAGACAGCTTCTTCTGACCTGAAGCCCAGGTGGGCCGCAATTAATTAGCGCTCTGGAAAAGTCAGAGCTCTAGGCCTTCATTGGATGCGTCAGGTTGTTTTAGTGACCAGATTCTGGAGTTTTAAATTACACTGTGACAATTACTCTATTGAATATCACGCGGAAGTAATGCCTCCTATTTACTATCATGGAAATACAGCAAAGAGCACAATAATACTATTCCACAGAGTAAATTCTCAGCTACAAAACACTGTTTTTCAACACAGTCACCACCACTAGCCATGCATTTTTGCCAGTTGTGAACAAGAGTTTGTATAACATCCATGTCAAAATCTGGGTGTTCAGTGGGTGACACTGGTGCACTGTCACCCACTGAACACCCACTGTAGCTGCCAGCACTGCTGAAATGCACCACTCACACAGCACCCACATCCACTGACTGGTCTTCATAAACATTCAAGCAAGCATCAATGAATGCCAACGGGTACAAATTTTTTTTTCCACGTGGAGAAATTAATGACAGGCACTTATTTCATAGGTGCTTCCATATCAGACCCTCTTTGGTCCACCCCCCTTTCACACAGCAACAACACGTAACAGGAGATTGGTGGGTAGGTTCAACATCTATTCCCATACCACCAACACCTGCCTCTGGTTTTGTGGGCCAACATACTAAAACAGAAGGTGTTATTTTCAGAGCAGCCTTCACACGTTGCTGCAGAAGGCATCTTTCTCCCATTGCTCAGGTAAGTTCTGCTATCCCCATTAAGCTCTGTGTTCCAATTACATGCCTATCTTGCACCTACGTGCAAGAATTGGCCAGGTAAGCAAGAATGCACTACGAACAAATAATTGTTTTCTGCAGATGCATGAGGAAATTCCAATAATCTATTTCTGAATATTGATATGTGCAACCCCCATCTTTTTTACTATTCTTCTTGACTTCAACAGACACTTCTATTGAACATAACTGATTTACAATTAACACTGAAATGCATTTAAAATCAAATATCACAGGGAAAAATCAGGAAGATATAGTATACAGCAAGGGGAAAAAAGAGAAGGTACGATTTAGTGAACAGCATGGGAAATTGCTGTAGTCTAAGTCTGAGAGCTTAGCAGGCACTTTATTAAACTGCAATGCCTTACTTTACAGTTCTGCTTTTAAAATATGTTAACACTATATCACAGTTCCCGGCAGCATGAAGTCTTTCCAGAAAATGTGTCATCACCATATGCAGCATATTTTATAGCCATTATAATTTTATTATATCCAATAATATTTTTCTGAAATTCTAGGAAGTCTTCCCACGAAAGATAAGTAATGACTATGTTTTAATCAGCTGGCATAAAGTCTAACCACCATACTGCAGAAAAAAAAAAATCCTTTATTATACCAAAATGACCTCGGTTTCATTTTGCCTCTCTCTAAAAGGTTATGAACAAAATCATAAAGAATCTCATTCAAGCATTATGTGGCACAAAACTTCTCAACTGTGAAGTTATTTAACTCAAAGATCGATTTCTGCAATTTACTGATTCTTAATTGAAGTAACTGTACAAATTCAGAATCCTATATATTGCGCTATGAAGCAGAAAATTTGACAATTATGCTAACAAATCCTGAAATATATGTAATTTTTTTTTTTTTTAACGGATCCGCAAACACTCTGAAAAGACAAGCTATGCATTTCTGAGCAAAACAAAGTAATTTTTCTTTTCTTACCAGGGTTGGATTTCTGCTTTGCAGTGTGCTTGTGATGGGAGATCACTGCTGCGGAGCCCGGTACGACTGCTCGCTCCTCTAAGTCAGACTCTGGGATTGTAGCACAGCCACCTAGTAGAAAAGGGAAGGACCTTCATGTGGTGCTTTTTGTAACAAAACAAACTCACCAGTGCACACTTAAGGAAAAGAGGTGATAAATTAACTGACATGAGATCCCAAGAACTGAAACAACCTTAACTTAAAAGTAAGAAGTTCTGTGATGTGAAAAGAAAACCATTACCATTGTTCAGAACACTGGTTCTGCCTTAATGACTTCTCTTTACCACTTATGTTAGTTTAAAAAAGAGTTTGAATGTAATAAGCCTACAGATTGCTTAGAACTGGTTCCACATAAAAGCTGGAAAATATGGTTCATTTTAAAGATCAGACTATTGGGAGCTAGATCTGTAATACAAGTAATTTTATGTGAGCGAAATAACTTTACAAAGTCAACAAACCTTATAAAGATTGTTAGCTTGCCACAGAGAATTACATATGATGATATTTTTTTGGATGGGTTTTTAAATAAAGTATTTTTAATTACCTCATGCTAGAGACAGGAAAACACAGGGACACTTTCACTGCACGGTTACACTGCAGTGCCTTTCTCATTAGTGATCTCAGGATGCAGGATGTAATGGATTATTTGAATTTTGCAGCATTGCTTTCCTTAGTAGTTCATTAGAGAGCACAATGACTTCAAATGCTTATGTTTAAAAAATGAAAAGGGGGACAATCACTAGTAATAATACCTGAAGGCAACTGCAGTAGCTTTCAATGGAGCAGAGTAATGATTTTTTCTTTTTTCCCAAAAGGCTGTGATCAAGACTTTGGAGAATGTATTGATGTTCCACAGCAAAAGCCATAGCCTTACAACAAATCCTTTGCTGATTCAGTCTGCGTGTTAAGCTTGTCATAATTGTGACCTTTTTAGATCTCAAAGCAGGGAGGACCATTTTAAAATATTATCTTTTCAGCCCTTTTCAGCTTGAATGCCACTTTTTCCCATGTGATTAATATTTCTATATTTTACCTTCAGCTATTCTGGGCAATTCTTGTTGAAGCCCAAACCTATGCCCAGTAATTTCAAAATAACATCCAAACTAAAATCCAGCACAGTGCAGTAGATGCTCTATTAATGACCATAGAAAAAAAAAAAATGGTCATCTGCTTTCAAATTTAGCTCTTATTTAAATATTTCATTGCTACAGGACAGAAGTTTGCATCTCTTTTAAAGAACCACCACTAACAGGTATACAAATGCATCTACCTATTTACTGCATTCTGACAGCACACGTTTACAAACAGCATAGCATATCACGGCTGTTCTCTCCTCAAAATAAATAAATAAATAAATAAATGACCTAATTAAAAATGACTGTTAAAAAGAACACTGCATCCTCGAGAAGGAGAGGTGCAGCTACCCGAGTAGTTTCAGAAGCACTGGCAACACACAAAGTCCTGCAGAAATGTGCCTAGCTAAGGTAGAACATGGCAGCTCCACTGAATACTGTGAAGGCACTCATTCCTACCGACTGAAGAAGTGACACAGCATCCTTTATGTCTAAGAAAGGCATAAGCTACTGTATTCCAGATACACCCTGATAGAAAGTGTAGGACACGTTATGGATTTGCATTTGACTAGAGCAAGCCAATCTTTACTTAGAAAGGATAGTTAGGTGTCAATGTATCAACAGTGTATATTGCCCATAATAGCTTCAGCTATGAAGCTGAAGGAGAAAATGGGAAATGAGAAAAATGTTGCCTTGTTAAAATACCACAGCAGTGGGGCACAGCATAAAATATAAACCTACCTACATCCTAAATGAAAACAAATATCAGTAAATTAATACTTCTGTTCCCATTTGCAAATTATGACTAAACTATAAACTCAGATTTGATTAAATGGAAAGCATTTCAGTATTTTTCATTCTTCAGATAAAATCTACCCTGTTAAACAGAAATCTGTAAATACAGGATACAAAATAAAGGTTTCTTCCACAAGGGAGCTATTAAGAATGGTATCATACATTTTAAGAGGTTTTATATAATTCTTAACATGGTGAGTGAAAATTCATTCAGTTAGTTAGTGTCTATTGGATTTCTACACGGAAATAAACTTTTACAAGTCTCATTCTGAAGTCTGAAATTCTGCAGCATACATGGCTTTGAGAATTGACACCTTTTGATGCCAAAGTACTTCATTAGTCATCAACAACGATAGTAACTGAACAAGAGTTGGAAAAGGTCTATTTGCCCTTAGGTATAACACTACTTTCTGAAAGGAAGTAAGACTTCCTGCTCTCGATTTTGATGTGCTAGATTTGTTAAGATTTACTTCTCAACAGATACTATCACAATGTACTTAAATTAAAAGCACAATTCACCCTCTCCATTACTTTCACTTCTTGACAGAAAATAGCCCGGACTGAAACGTTACCAATCACAGGTGATTTTACATATAAAGAGTGCCCTTCAAGCACACAGAGCAACAGTAACATCATAATTTTTAGTATTATGAGTAGTCATTACTTCATATTTCTGCCAGGATACTAGTAACTTTCATATATGATTTGTCTTATAAACACCATTGCTTCAGAAATACATTCAGCGTACTGAGGACAGATTCTGGAGGGCCTGGATTCCATCCAGGATTCTTACTCCAATAATTATTTAAATGAATTAGGAAACAAGGAATGCAATGGTGACATTCTGTGGCAATGAGGCTTACATGATCATGGTGCCACTGCTTTTGACATCCTTCTCTTCCAATATTACTTTATAACAGAAGGAACTAGTGGCATCTGCTGAACTATATCCCTCAGACTGTTTCCATGCCCAAGGCTAGGTAAAATGACTGAACCCTCATTCACGTCAACCTGCAGAAAAAAAAACCTAAGTTGTGTCTGCTTCTTCCCATGGAACTCACAGCAATTTCAATTTTCTTGATCCACTTGGCCTCTTCATGATAAAAATGGATACCCTTGAGAACACGCTATGATTCCCCACAGGAAGAAGAGAGGACCATTATAAGGCAATTGTCATTCTAGAGGAATAAAAACAAGGGAAAGTGTTAAACTTTCACTCGACTAGACAGGAAACTGGATAAAACACAAATAGGTCTTTGCCAGATTGCACCTAGCAAATATAATCTTTACACCACCGTAGACCATCATTTGGCAAAAATACTCAGAAAGACAGGTACCAGGAGCCTGAAAAAAATCTCTTCCCCATGAGGACTCTAAGCTCTTTTGAACTACATTGTGCAGGGGTTCTACTGAGGTTATCTATCTTGCTTTCTTTGGTCAGAGGCCAATAGAATTTTTACTTTAAGTCAAAGAAGTCATTCTTGAATTCTTGTATATCTTTGTATGCATTTCCAAAGGTAGCCACAGAATACCTATTTTAGCAAGCATTTTTATGTATCTGGAGCCCTACAAGTCACAGCAGCAGAATTTTTCACGTTCATTGACAATCAAGTGAATGGTACAAAGTGAAATATTTAAGGAAAAGGTGGGGGGAAGCAAGAACAGTACATAAATCTACAGGCTGGAAATGATCCAAGTTGAGAAGTTCTCCAGATGTCAGTCCGTAAACAGTGCCTCATAATATGAATTTCCCCATTAATTGTTGGCAGGAATAACATCTAGAACACGATATTACATTTGACCCACTCTTTCTCCCTTTTCTAAGCTAAATTCTTCTCTGACATCACAGATCTTTTATCAGTTGTGATAAATCCAAGAAGAAAGCTGTGGTCAGCAGAACTGTTTGATAGGGTACAACTTGCATAAAAATTATTCTGAAGCGAATTATGAACTTTGTTCACCAAAGGAAATGAAACTTCTCTTGTTTATTTTCTCTACGTCTGTTTTTGTGACACGTTTGGTTCTTAAGTTGGAAAAAGACACCCACACCCAAAGGAAACATAAACATAATGCATATTGAAAAAAAAAAACCTAAGTACTAACAGTTTTCCTACAGGTTCCTATCACCATGTTTTTACACATTTTAATATGGCTCCAAAAGTTTAAAAACAGGAAAACAGAAGTAGTATACGTCTAAAGAATGAAAAGGTACTTTGAGGGTAAGACCATTTGAGCTTCCTCTTTCTCTTCCAGTCAATCACAAACTAAACTATTCATAAAGTTTCCATTTTCCTCTGAAATTAACTCTTTTACAGGAGGCTTTTTCTTTGACAGAAAGAAGAAAAAAATGCTTCAGCAGTAAGAAATTCAAAGTATGAGCAGAAAGCTCAGAAGGCTCGGTCATTAGCAGGTCTTTCATTTACGTGCATGCCTTTGTAACAAGAGAGATAATCTAAACAGAAACATAAGTTCACAGAGATTCCAAAACTATAGGTAAAATCAGATTCCGTTGATTCTTTTGGGGATGTGTCCACTCAAAATGCAGCCTAAAGCATTATAGATTCTTTGCTCTAAAAAACTAGCTACGTTTATTTCAGTCCTGTAAATTTGGGGGGGAGGATCTGCTCATCAGCAAGTAGCTATGTTGTTTAGGTAAACACTGCTTGCAAGCTTTGTACCGACGTAGTTGTACTTCTGCTTCCCAGAAGTAAGATAGAACAATGCCATCTATAGAAGAAATGGTTACATATTTGAGACTATAAGATCCAGGGAATATTCGTTCATATGATTCAGTGAAATATACTCTATCTGTAAAGAGAAAGAGTAAAGAATTAGAAAGGAGAGGAAGAGAAGGATTTTTTTTAAATGTGTCTCACTGATAATGAATGCACACAGTTACACTTTGCAGTACAGAAACAACTCAGATTTAGTTCAAGCATTTGCTAGCAAAATGTAGAGCCACTAATTAATCAGCTACAGATTTCAGGACAAAGCATTTAAATCCAATCGTGTGGCTACAACTGTTTAGTCACAGGACTCTATTGTTGCTCTTTGTGCCTGGGTTGACTTAACCAGCATCAATGAAACGATGGAAAGTATTTCTGTCTTGCATTCCACTGAAGTAATAAATTAATGAAAAATCATAGTAACGGAGTATGCAATCCAAGGTCACCATAGATCACCAAATATATTTTCAATGACAGT